CCATAAGACGTTTGTCATGTGAGAGAGGAGTTTCAGCTATGACAGTCCAAAGAGCAGTGACAAAAGAAGGAAAATGAAATCGTACGTGAAACCTGTGAGGCCTCTTATTACTCCAGGGCAGAAAGTTATAAGGTTAAAGAGGATGAAGATCATTTTTGATAAATAAATTGAAAAATGATCCTGTAATAATACACACACACACACACACACACACACATATATATATATATATATTTTTTTTTTTTGAATAAAAGACAGACCACGTTAAGATTCCATGTAATAAGCTATTTCACCATAACCCCTTTAACAGGGTTCTGGATCATCAGACTTTACTCCCAAAAGCTGAAATGAAAAATGAAAAGAAATTCACACGTTTTTTACGGACCTCATCAAGTATACGCAAAGTTAACGAAGTGAGGAAGTGAGGTGGGAGAGAGGATATGAGTGTGTCATATGTATCATTTTAGTTTCCTATTTTAACCCCAGTGTGTCGGCTGGATGTTGCTCAAATCTAACGCGTCTCGTCTCTAGATAAAGGTGGTTAAGGGGTGGGCGATAAGGGCTACAACAGCCCCAATAAATTACACGACAGGTTTCATTCAAATTCTTAGACGCAGTCAGTTCGCGTTATTTTAACGTGCATATTTGGGAGGTTAAGGTTTGATAAATATCTAAAATTTTAAAAACAATCTACGGAGAAATTAATTTGAAATTCGGTGGAGTTTTGGGTATTTCCTATGAAGCAGTCGATTGGAAAAATCCATAAACAGAACATTGAAAGAGTAATCCAATTTATATTTAGTACTTTTTCCACTAAAGCTTTTATCTTATATCTTGTTAGGTTGACATTTATTCGTTTGATTTTTGTTCATTAAGTAAACCTGTGATTGTTTTTAGGCCCTTCTTATATATATTTATATATATATATATATATATATATATATATATGTGTGTGTGTGTGTGTGTGTGTGTGTGTGTGAACTAGTGAACTAAATTTCAGCCCGTCATGAGCTTCCGATCCTTAGCTAGGATTAATTAATGATGAACATATCATTTTCGTTTCTGATCGATTTCATAACGATTCTTCTGTTAAAATTGGAGAGTAATCATACATTCTTATTACTCAAAATAGAGTCCAATAGTGTTATAAAAACCCCGGAGACTTCCAGTAAAATATCTTTAATCATTTCTAAGATACATCGGTGGAGAGCTTAATCTAACAAATGGACAATTTTGCTTTTGCACGATTTGGACAAATTTGGTGTTACAGTTAATATATATATATGTATATATATATATATATTTCGATAAACGTGCAATCAATTTACAAATTCATGAATTATTCACACAAAAACAAATGCAAAGGTTAATGATTTAATTGGCGAGAAATCCATCATCGCAAACAATTCAAATAATATACAAAAACCTCCGAACCCGTTATGAATGAAATGATCCTTGTTTCTATAAATTTCTGCCGTATTAGTTCTTATTTTTACTACAAGCTTTCGTCTGTTCCTACAGACATCTTCAGGTATGGAATAGATGTTGTTCTTGTTTTTTCTCTCAGTAATAAGAGGACAACGAAAATATATGTATTGTTGTATCCGAAAATGCTATTGGAAATGAGTTATTGTTTTTGGAGCGTGCAGTAGCAACGCTGAGTTTGATTTTAAATTTTTTACAGTTGTGCGTTCATGTACATTTTCTTTAAACTGACGCTTTCATTTCATTGTGTGATGCGCTTACGATATATATATATATATATATAATTATTTATTTAAAATGTATTTATTTTCCTATTTTCTATATATTCTTACACACACACACACAAACAAACACACACATATATATATATATATATATATATATATATATATATATATATATATATATATATATATTAAAAAATATGCTACATTTATCAGAGAAGAGTGATCAACATCAGAGATATAACGTTTATAGTTGACGAGAGCGCTGGTGACTGCCACTTTTACGCCTCAATACAAATTTTAGGTCAGTTGCCACTTCTCCTTTAGCGGGTTATATATACAAGTCACTGAAGGATTAAGGGAAGCTTTTATTCTAATGTTCGCCCAATAAAAGGACTAAGAGCCACACAAAGTTGAGGACTACTGTGTGCTGTTGCATGAGCTTCGGAAAGAGAAAGATTTTATGGGGCAATGCTAAAAAGATAACGGTAACGCTAGACTTGAAATGAGCTAAGAAAGAAACCAGTTCTTCTAAATCCCTTGTTTAGAGTAAATGGTCAGGGTCATTTATGGTTATGACCTCTATTTGCCTATTTATTTATTTTATTCATTATTCTATTGTTATTTTATTCAATTATATATTTCATTTTTTGCTATTTATTTATTTTCCTGGCTGTTTTCTTTGGTACTGAGTTTTGCAAATAAAGCTTATTAGATTTATTTTATATGATTCTATTTAATCTTTATGATGTGGTTGTAGGTATCGTAGAAAGAATTTGTTTTCGAGTCCGAATTTGGAAATGGGTAATGATCTTTTGCTTACAAAATCTTTATCATAAGCATATATAAATATATCCAAACGAGAAACACTAACACATACATTCACAAACACACAGACACATATATAGTGTGAGAGGGTAGATGCTTATCAGTATTTATGTAAACTTAGATATTTTGTGAAATTTGGTTTGAGGTTTTTACAGTATAGTATTCAATCTATGTGATTAATGTTCATTGATAAAGCATATTATGTTAAAACGTAAATATTTTTGTTTTTAATTAGGAGATTGCTGGATCGATGTATTTGTTATTTATCAATCGAAATACAGCTTACTTCAGAGAGGAAATAGTCGAATATTTGCCACTTGGCCAGAAGTAGAGGATTTTTAGAATACCTTCACTTCGTCAAGTAGACATTCGGTTATTTTTATATTTTTTTTAAGCATTTCACCCTAAGCAAGGCGGGAAGCCACTAGGACGCAAGGAGTTACAGAAAATTTAGAGCAAGATCAGATAGGAGTGATAGAAGAAAGGATGAGGGTAGTGGATCAATCAAGGCAACTGGAGATGTCGATTGACATTACACTTGAATAGCTGGAGATTATAGCTCACAGGGAAACAGGAATAGGGAAGGGAGTTCCACAGGCGAGAGGTGCGAGACATGAAGCTATTAGAGTAGAAGAGACGGCTACATTTAGGAGTTTCGACAATGAAGGGGTGAGAGTGGGATGCCAGCCTCGTAACTCATGACGTCTGGGAACCCGCGAATGTAGCTCCTCGGAGCAATTTCCATGAAAGTATTTGTAGAACAGACAGAGGGAGACGACGGCGCGTCTGTGAGAAAGTGACTGTAGACGAGACGCCAGAACAGGGCCAATTATATTGCATATCCGCCTCTGGAGCCTATCAAGAACCCCGAGGCAGACAGAAGGGGCACCAGACCATATATGGCAGCAATACTCCATGCAAGGTCGAATTGTGGATTTGTAGATCTGGAGGATCGACTCCGGGGAGAAAAACATTACATTATAATACTTTATTTCTCATCTTCATTGTCGTATTCACAACGTTTCGTCCGCTGTATGCTCTGGCTTTCTTCAGAACCGGAGCGTAGAAAGTATGTGTATGAATTTTTGGGACTTATAAACCTAATTTCTTATAAACCATTTTTATCAGTGCTCATACTGTAATTTTTCTGTTATTGTCATTTCATTTTTTACCAGATCTTATATTGCAATCTAGTTTTTCTGTATATTCCGATATATCGACTGGATGGGGGCTTAGCAACGGGTACATGGTAGCAGCTCCAACAAACTGGGATAGAATGGTATAAAAGGATAAGTGCACTCAGAAAACAGTCTGCTTACCTCATGGGAAGGGATTATCAGATAAAATACAAAGGATCTATGGTTCATATAACATCAGGATGACTTTCAAAAGTGGTTCAACACTTCGCAGACACCTCTTCTAAGATACTCCATAGAGGAGACAATGACGAAGAACTGTGTGTACGTCATCCTGAGTAGCTGTGGTAGGAAGGAGAAACAGGCCACTCCCTTAAGTTAAGACTGTAAGAACATCGTAAAGCGGTAACACAAGGGGAAATAGAAAAATCAAGGGTAGCTGACTACATATGGAGGGAAAAGGGTGATCACCGCCCCCACCCTGTGGGATGACGTTGAAATAATAGACATAGAGCATAACTGGAAAATACAAAAACTTAAGGAATCAGTACATATGCTAGGCCACAAAAATCTGAGCCAACCAAGCATAGAAATGAATACAATACGGGAACCAGTAATAAAGAGAACTAGAGAAAAGCAATGAATAACAACAAGAATTGAAATATAAGCTCTGGTAAAAAAAAAAAAATGAAATAATAATGACAGAAAAATTGCAATATGAGCACTGGTAAAAATGGTTGTTGAGACAATAGGTTTATAAGCCCCCAAAATTCATACAAAGATATCCTCAAGGACAGATGGCCCAGTGGATAACGTTCAATACATAGACTCGGCAGTGGTGAACTAAAAAAAAAAAAAAAAAAAAAACTTGGAGAGTCGGGTTAAAGGGAAATGACTGAGACACCCGAAAGAGGCATGGCACGTGGAACTAGAACAATCTAAGCCGGTGGACGAAATAAATGGTTCGAAATTTCAATCACGCAAAGAAGGCCGGAGCGTACAACGACCGAAATCTTATGAATATGGTAATGAAGATGAGGATAACAATCCGAATAATGTAAATAATGTAAGTAATCATAATACCTCATCTCAGAGATATAGACAAAATATTAGATATTCGGTGTTGCAGATAATAAGAACCTGTAACATTCAAAGCGTAGCTGACAAACACGGTTGCTTACGTAACTGAACAACGTGCCCTGATGGCATTACGGACAGGAACTGCTGACAGTACAGACCACGAGATTAAATACTTAACAAATCCCTTCGACTGATATTTACACACATTTTCTTTAAACTGACGCTTTCATTTCATTGTGTGATGCGCTTACGACCATATAACGCTGAAATACCGGCTCTCGTACGATCACCAACGTTAAGCAACTTCGAGCCTCATCAGTACTTAGTTGGGTGACCACCTAGGAATTTCTGGGGATTTGGATCTGTGGGTTATGTAATGGATAATTTCTTGGAATTGTTAATCGGAGAACCGTGTCCCAATTCCAGTCGAGTTCGTTATATTCACACGCGAAAATACCCTTGCGAAAGGCCTGAATTCACTTCTTCTCACTATAGCTATGGTTTAATTAATAGAAAGTGTATTAGTAAATCATTATTAACACCCCACCCCAAATATTCTTCGCACCTAAAAACATTTTCTGGCTTTTAAAGCCAGAAAATGTTTTTAGGTTCTAAGAAACCCACAAAATGTTTTTAGGTTCTAAGAAACCCACAAAATGTTTTTAGGTTCTAAGAAACCCACAAATGTTTTTAGGTTCTAAGAAACCCACAAAATGTTTTTAGGTTCTAAGAAACCCACAAATGTTTTTAGGTTCGAAGAAACCCACAAAATGTTTTTAGGTTCTAAGAAACCCACAAAATGTTTTTAGGTTCTAAGAAACCCACAAATGTTTTTAGGTTCGAAGAAACCCACAAAAAATGTTTTTAGGTTCTAAGAAACCCACAAATGTTTTTAGGTTCGAAGAAACCCACAAAATGTTTTTAGGTTCTAAGAAACCCACAAAATGTTTTTAGGTTCTAAGAAACCCACAAATGTTTTTAGGTTCGAAGAAACCCACAAAATGTTTTTAGGTTCTAAGAAACCCACAAATGTTTTTAGGTTCGAAGAAACCCACAAAATGTTTTTAGGTTCTAAGAAACCCACAAAATGTTTTTAGGTTCTAAAAAACCCACAAAATGTTTTTAGGTTCGAAGAAACCCACAAAATGTTTTTAGGTTCTAAGAAACCCACAAAATGTTTTAGGTTCTAAGAAACCCACAAAATGTTTGAAAAACAGTAAAAATAAATCAATCAATCGTTGTGTAATGGTGACTTTATTGCCTTATAAAAAAATAGTCAATTTGTCTGAGTTCAATTGAACATTCCCTCTTCATTGATACCATCCTGTTCAGTACATTCTCTTCAAATTAGGTCATCATGAATGTCAGGGTGATCATCAAAGAACTTGAACTATTGTCAAAAAAAAAAAAAAAAAATTCGGTGAACGCGCTTTCAAATACTATCGACACTCGGTTTTGAAATGTCTGTCTTACAAACTCACTGGAGATTGATGGTAACTATTCCGCATTTTTTTTCTCTTGGGAATCATGGGGATGTCTATATTCTTCTGGAATTATGCCTGTAAACGTTGCGAAGATTTCCTTCTGTTTCAAAGTTATCGCTGATATGGGAAGTGGTGAAGAGTAAGGGGGAATCAGTTGGAAACTTTCCTTGCAACTTGTCTGTGCACATTGGTTACAATATTACTATGCTAGTTTATTAGTTGATTAGTACATTAGTAATTAATATTAATGCATTATGTTGTATAGTAGCTAGCACCCTTAAGCTCTCTACCAGATGTTCTACCTCATAGCCTTAAATACGACAGTTGATTAATATGTTGATAATAATATGATTAATATTCGGACTGATCATACTTCGTTTGGCTATACAGCATTTGACCCTCCTCTATCCCTTGTAAGTTGTCTTGTTAATTGTTTTGTAACTTATTGTTCTGTGTTTTTTGTATGTATCCGTTAGCACCGGATACAGGTGCTGAATAAATATATTAAGCACTCCTTCTTCTCTGTGTATCATTCACCTCGACGATGCAACACATTATAATATGGATATAATATAAATATATTAATACATTATAATATAACTGTCTATACCTCTGAGTGGATAAAGACGTTGGTTAGATCCACTGACTAGAGCCAAAGAGTTGTGAGTTCAATACCAAGCCACAGCAGACAAAAAAAACTTGGAGAGCTGAGTTAAATGGAAATAACTGTGACGCCCTGAAAGAAGAGACATGGTACGTGGAACTAGAGCAATCTCTCCCGAGGGACGAAATAAAGAGTTTGGTTCGAAATTTTAGTTCCGTGAAGAAAGCCGGAGCGCACATCGACCGAAACGTTGTTAATATGGCAATGAAGATGAGGATAAGAATCCGAATAATGTAAATAATGCAAGTAATTATAATATAAATATATTAATATATTATAATATAAATTAATACATTAATTATGCCAGGTTAATTTTAGGATAAATTTAATTTTTCTCAAAACTTAGTTTCCTTTGAGACATCATTTTGAAACAGTTACGGCCAGAAAATAACAAAACATTCAAAAGTTATGCTTTGTGTATATTTGAATGTTTGGAACTTACCCAACGTCTCCGAACAGATAGTTAGAGACAAGACTATCTATCTATCTATCTATCTATCTATCTATCTATCTATCTATCTTTTTGTTTCGATATCTATCATTTTGTTTCAACACTTCTGGTGTCTTATCAAATGATAGCGCTGAATGTACATTCGACACCATCACTTGATAAGACACCAGAAGTGTTGAAACAAAATGGCTATTTTTTAGTCATTTTATAACATATTTATGTTATAATTTTCGAATAAATATATATATATATATATATATATATATATATATTGAGAGAGAGAGAGAGAGAGAGAGAGAGAGAGAGAGAGAAAGATAGAGAGGGAGAGACGGAAAGGGGGATAGAGAAATACAAAAAGCAAATAAAGAAAGAAGAGAAAACATAAAAGTTTAGGAGAAATAAATGAAATGGATTGAGAATGAAGCAAAGAAAGAAAGAAAGAAAGAAAGAAAGATAAAAGAAAGATAAAAGAAAGAAAGAAAGAAAGAAAGAAGTAAAGAAAAAATACAATAGAAAGGATTGTAAAAGACCAAGTGAAAACTAGTGCACAAATATAATAACACCGAAAATAACAAACCTCCCGAAGAGAATTGCAATTACCGGAAAGGTAATCAGTTATGCGCATGCGTTTTTTCTCCCGTAAGTCAGACAAATGATCATTTAGCGGAAGTAATTGTGCATTGGCCACTTAGAAGTTGTACGCCCGCGCTGAGCAGTCCGCTTATTGTCTGCTTCATATGTTCCTCGTCTGTGACGAGTCAAATCATTCAAGTGGACCAACGTTATCAGATGCAAAAGTTGGCCGCATCGTCTACCCATGATCAATCAAGCCTCCAGTTCACGTCACATTAGAAGCCCTCGGCGACTAGCCTCAGAAATAGGGTCAATTCTTTACAATGGTGCGGACAGTGCATACAGTGAAGAAATAATAAGCAGATAATTATCATTTATCTCTTTTTACTTGTAAAACCTTTTCTTCCTCTTTCTTTCTTTCTTTCTTTCTTTCTGACATATTAATTTCTCCTCCTCTCTTTATATTCTTTCTCTCTTTCTACACATAAACCGAATCAAATACATACATGTCTATGTGGAGGGGGTGTTTGTGCGCACACACACACACACACACACATACATACATACATACATACATACATATATATATATATATATATATATATATATATATATATATATATATATATATATATGCATGTTTCGTTAAAAACGACAGACAAGGTACTACAGTTGAGCTTTTTATTTAATTTTTCTTGTGTTCTGACAAGAGCTTTCTTTTTCTGGACAAAAGTGTGTAAGAACTGTCCGAATGTTCTGTTTTTCCGAGCGCTTTCGGCTATACTTTTAGCCATTATCAAGGATGGTTCAATGATGGATATTCATATACAAAATAGCTGTAATAAAAAAAACTATCTAAATAGAGCCCACCAGAACTCATCCTCTCGACTACTCTTTCTCTCAAAGAACTTAACAACGTTAAACAAACACTAATTAACAACGGTTTCCCTAACTATTTTATAGACCAACAAATTAGAATATTCCTCCCCAAAGCAAGTAATAATGATAGCGAACACACAACTAAAAATCACATACACATTTATTACAAAAAACCAAATGCATATTAATTACAAGCAAGATGAATCTGCTCTAAGACATATTATAAAGAAATATACTTCTCCTATTGACCCGGATAAAAAATCAAACTTATTATCTATTATAAAAAATTTAAGACGGCCAACCTTATGTATAAAAAAATAACAACACACCAACGAAGTCAAAAATTACAAAGAGCGAACATTATCTATGAGTTCAAATGCCCTTTAAGGAACTGCGTTCCTCACCAAACCGGACTCATAAATAATTACATCGGCTACACAACCACATGTTTATCCAGACGTCTTACATTACACATATCTGATCACAGTTCCATCAGAACACATTTAAACACACACTCAGATTTACCTGACACTATTAGGAACATACTAGTAGAAAACACTAATATATTAACTGCATCCACTCAAAAAAAAAAAAAAGACTAAAAAATAATGGAAGCTCTAATAATAAAAAAAAAAAGCCAACTCTTAACAATATCAATTATGAACAAAGCCACAATGTGCTAACTGTATTCGGAAACTAAAACATCACTACCACACTGAACATACATAGAACACACACTCTACTTGATAATGAATATCCATCATTGAACCATCCTTGATAATGGCTAAAAGTATACTTTGAAAGCGCTCGAAAAAAACAGAACATTCGGACAGTTCTTACACACTCTTTGTCCAGAAAAGAAAGCTCTTGTCAGAACACAAGAAAAAATTAAATAAAAAGCTCAACTGTAGTACCTTGTCTGTCGTTTTAACGAAACATGCATAAAGGAAGGATTGCTGCCTAATTATACAAATATATATATATATATATATATGCACCACATATTTGATTTAAAAAGAACTGATCCGACGTGGAACTTTCGGGATAATAGCTGCGACATTGCTTTATTTACTGAGCAATTTAGTTCATGCTACATCGACTGAAAAAAAACTATTACAACAAAAATAATTCTCCAATTACCATATTAGTAAAAAAAACGCAGTCTCTTTTAAATTTTCAAAAAAATCAACCTTAGCGTTGCGACCGCACGCTCCAAAATTGCTTACAGTTAACAATAAAACCTTTCTAAAAAACATATTTCGATTCACATCTAATCTTTCGTGTCCCGTTATTACCTGGATGG